TCCAGTTCAGCACATTCCTGCTGTTCACACTGGCTGTATAGAAGCAGTGGAGATGGTTTTCCTGTGGTTTAAACCAATATGCTCAGAGGGTTTCTATACATTCTGGGTCTCTGATTAAACACCAGCACGTTTCAGGGTGGTGAGAAGTTACTGCAGCAAGAATTAAGAAGTCTCATATTATTTGAACAAAAGCCTTGAATCTGGTCTTTTCACTGCTGCACTCAGTGAAGTTGGATCTAAAACGTTCCTGCAGGCTGTCAGTTCCCTAAACTGACGCTGAGCTGCAGGACTTTCTCTCAGCAACCATCAGGCGTGCAGCAAACATCTGGTGAAAGTCCCTCTGTACAGTTACACCCAACTAATCTAACAGCGGATTTACATGTATGCATTTTTACACATTGGCTGCATTGTGACAACATTTAAAACACAACAAACATGTAATAACGCTACAATATATATATAATAATACATTTACCGTAAATTCCAGATTATAAGCCGCTATTTTCTTCACACGCTTTAAACACTGCGGCTTAAACAATGACGTGGCTAATTTATGGAGTTTTACGAATTTGCCTCGAGACATAAGTGACGTTGAGAGCGACAACGAAACAGAGACTGAGGAAGTGACGAAGAAATTCTGAGGCTGTTCAATCCCGACACTGAAGAAGATGATTTTAGCGGTTTTAGTGGCAGGAGGAAGATGAAGATAGTGATGGTAGGATACTGTCTTTTTTATTTTTTTTAACCAGTTGTGTTACGGGTACTGTTCGGAAAAAAGCATTTACGATACGCATTTAATTAAAAGCTAAGAAAATCTTTCTGTGTAAACATCTCATGTTCCAACGTGGACGCCTGCGGCTTATAGACAATTGCGGACTGTATATGTACAAACTTTGTTTTCTTTTTAAAGTTAGCAGGTGCGGCTTATATTCAGGTGCGCTCAATAGTCCAAAAATTACGGTACATATATATCATATATTTTGTTATATATATAAATGCATACAATAAAAAAAATACTCTGAGATCTGAGATATGGAGTACTTTTACTACCAGAGTTGGATTTCATATACTTCTATTTGCTATTGGTTTGTTTTTATCATTATATTTTTGGTCACATTTGGTGTTTGGACCCTCCACTGCTGAATCTGCCTCCAGTGTGAAACCACACTTTATATTTTTACCACATACAACCCAGCATCTCCTCGGTTATTCCTGCTTCACTGCTCAACTCAAAAAAGAAAACTTTACACAGAGAAGAATCTACAGAAAATTCCCTTTCATCAGTCTGCTGGGGAAAAACCGAGTCAGGAATCAGTGGTGCATGAAGATTTCAAGTCTTGTAATGAAGCATTCTTTCAGTGTGCTGCTGCTGCTGCTGCTATCAGGTATTGATTTCAGCAATAGCTTTAATAATAAATGAATATTTTTTAAACTATAACATTTTTTTCCCGTCACGTTTCCGTGTTATGTCAATTTACTGGATTTGGATTTTGAGGTTTTATTGTTGTATTCAGAAAACCTGTAACCTGGAATGACAACTTTGATCTTGAATCAGATCATTGATAATCACTAAGCAGTGACGAACAAACCTGTGATAATCGTTATGGTACAGTTCATCAGTGTTTTCAGTTAGTAAACAAAGAGGGAGAAGAGACACTTGTGCTCTTACAAGTGTATGAATGTGTGTTATAAAGGGCTGTTCTTCTGCTCTATACAGCCGTTACTGTGGCAACAAGAGCTGAAGAGACTCATCTCACACACACACACACACACACACACACACACACACACACACACACACACACACACACACACACACACACACACACACACACACACACTTACCTCTGGCCTTTATTGCTGTTTTAAAATTTCATTTCACTATCCAAAAAGCTCTTTGGGCTCCTGAAGAAAAATAAATAAAGTCAATAAATGAACTGGGAGAACTTTTCCTCAGGTACAAACTAAAAAAAAGAAAACACAAACAAAAACTATTTTGTTCTTCGCAGGTTTTTTTTTTGTTTTGTTTTGTTTTTGTTTTTTGTCTAACTGAGGAAAGCAAAAGCAGTCGTTGCTCAGCGAAGAAAAGACCACAAGCGGTCAGCAATTATAGCTTTACCCACAGTCCTTCAGCTAATTCATAACCCAACGTAAACTGAATCTAAACCCAATCAAAACTTATTCTAACCCTAACCTAAATGCAACCTAAACCTAACCGAAGCCTGACTTAAGCCTAAACTAAACACAGCGTAAATTTAACCGAAATCTGAGCAATATCCAACCTAATCTGAAGATACGCCTTCGGAAACAAAACAAAACTCAACCTTAACATCGGCTAAACCTAAGCTATATCTAGTCTTAACCTAAGCAAGACCCAACCTAAACCCAAGGTGAGCCTAACTTACACCCAACGTAAACTGGGCATAAATACAAACTAAACTCAACTGAAACCTAAGCTAATCCCAATGTAAAGATAAGTTGAAACTAAACCTAATCGTAACCTAACCCAAAGTAAACCTAACATAAGCCAGATGTAAATACAACCTAAACCTAACATGAGCCCAAACTTAAACAAATGTCATGTAAACCTCAAATAAACTTGACCTGAATGCAACATAAACCCAAGATAAGTCCAGCCTAAATTCAACAAACTGCAATCTAGTTGCCAAATTTGTGAGAATGCCGCCATGCTAGCAGGTTCCCCTTGTTTCCAGTCTTTATGCTAAGCTAGGCTAACCATCACCTAACTTTAGCTCTAGGTACATAAACTGGTATCTGTCAATCTGAAAGGCAACAAGAGAACTTTAAAAACTTCTGAATCATTCCTTTAAAAGTTAAACACGTCACAGTATTATACCCAAAATGTTTTCATCTTATAAATTCTGAATTAGAAACAAGACTGAAAAAGCTGCTTAAGGAGGAAAATTTAAGCTGATCTTTTTAATTAAATATTTTTATTGGACTTTACAGCATCATGTCATTAAAAAGATGTACACAAATATTTAAGAAAATAAATTACCAAATACTTTAACAGGTAATAAAAATCACTTGAAAAGTTCATTTCAAATGAAACACCGTCGTCTTTCTGGTGCCTCAGTCACAAAACTGAAATACTCACATGACATAATATATAAATATGACAAGTCCACGTGACAGATATACAAAGGCTTTGATCCGATCCAGCAGCTCGAAACGGCTTTTGTCGAGAAAACAATCTGTTACACAGAAAACTACAGCTGGAGAACAAACTGTACACACAAAAATATTTACAACAGAAGAGCTTAAAAAACATCTACGAGTTCAGGCAGCGAGTGCAACAAGAAACACGAGAGTCCAACATTCGTCCGGTTCTGATTCCTGAACACAAATTGTGTCCAATCAGTTGGTTAAAAATGAAATATAAAAAGCTTTTCTTCCATCGATCAGATGCTTCCTGAAATGAGGAGAAGAACTGAGCTCCATATTTGTGTTTTTCAGTTTCTGAGGTCACTCGGGATGATTGAGCTTTGGTCCTCTGAACAACTTGATTCTGGTAAACTCCAGAGTCCTTCATTTTCTCTACGTCATTTTATTGAAGTGATTCTCCTGCTGGAGTCATTCCATAGCTCCTAAGAAATCCTTCTGAGGTTTGTAGTAACGTTGCGTTTGTCCTTTATGGAGCTAAGATGTGTGATTACTTCAGCATCAGGGACACGGTGAGGGGAAGTAATTAGAAAATCTTAAAGGAATAAGTTGTGTTGTCTTTAGAATAAAGTTGTACTTTCAGAGGACACAGAATTTAAACATTTAATGAGAGAAAAAGTAGATATTTTCCAGAATAAAGTCCAAATTTGACAAGAACAGTGATATTTTTAAGTAATTCCTGGACTAAAGTGTCACTTTAAGTAGAACAAACATGTTCATATTTTACAAGATAAAGTTTTTCTATCGTGAAAATAACAGTTACATCACACTTTGATGTGATGAAGGTGTCATTTCAAAAACACAGGTAATTAATTTACTAAATACTGAGTAAATAAGTATAATATGATGGAAGATTTTTTAGGAGAAAACGCCTCAGAAATAAACAAAATAATAGGATTTTTTAAAAAAAGTTTAAAAACTAGAGGTGATATTTACAAGAATGAAGTCACAATTTAGTTAGTTTAAGACATAAATATCTGGAGAACACAGCCTCAACATTATGAGAATGTCAGAGACAGAACTGACTTGTCATTATGTTAAAGTTATGTTCTTGTAAAATGTGTTTTCTTCCTATGCTATTACTTTACCCCCAAAACATGTTTCTAATCTTGTAAGATTCAGACCGTTTGACATGATTCTGTGGATGTGGTTCCCCTCACCGTGGCTCTGATCCTCTGCTGTAGCTCATGTGGTTCATTCTGTTCTTAACTCTTGGCCTCCGTTTGCTCTGATGTTCTGATTGCTGAGTTGTGAGTTGGTCAACGTTCACTCAGGAGTTGACGAGATCAACAAACCCGATCCACTGTCACAGCTGGTTGGAGTTCCTCATCTGGAAACATCTGGATGTCACACAGCCTCCAAACCTGCTGTTCAGACTTCCTGTTGCTTTGTTGGGGGTGTTGTTCCCAGACGTGGGCCTTCTCCAACTTTATCAGACTCACAGCCAAGATGGCTGCTGGAGGTCTCGCTATTCTGCGTTCCGTTAATGAGATGTTTGTCAGCGATCTTGAAGAGATGAATTTTCAGTGGATAGTTAGTTAGTTTGTGAGAATCCTTCCGTGTGATGATCCACATGTGCAGGTCTGGGAACCTTCTGGTGATCAAATAAAAAACGCCCTAACCTAAGTTTCCAGTATCATGATTAGAGTTTAGTGTAATCGCCGTGGCTCAGGTGGTAGAGCGGGTTGTCCACTTATTGCAAGGTTGGCGGTTCGACCCCACATGTTGAAGTGTCCTTGGGCAAGACACTGAACCCAAAGTTGCTCCCAGTGGCAGGCAGACACCTTGCAAGGAAGGTGTTTGAATGTGTGTGAATGGGTGAATGAGAAAACTTTGCAAAGCGCTTTGAGTACCACTAAGGTAAGTCTCCTCCCTGTTAGCATGTTAGCTTCAGCCCTGCAGCTTGGGGACGGCAGCCTTCTGCATCCCCAGCATGGTGTCGTAGAAGCAGTCTTCGTTAATCATGGAGGTCATGCTCTGAACGCTGAAGTCTCTCTCCAGCAGGTTGCTGAAGTCCGGCAGTTCTCCTCCAGCAGTCCGGCGCAGACTGGAGCTCCGTCTCGTCTCCTCGTCGCTCCGAGACGTCGTTCCTCTCTCCGCCTCCTCCTCGGTGAAGTTGAGTCTCTGCAGCTGAGCCTCCAGCTCGCTGGTCAGGGAGCACAGCCTGGTCCTCTTGCCTGCAGCGGCGGCAGCGTGGCTGGGCAGCAGAGGCTCCGAGCAGGTGTCTCCCAGGACGCCGTCCGGTCTGCAGCTCTCCTCCGGCTGATGAGGAGTCGTCCTCTGGGTGTCGGAGCGAGAGCGCTGCTGCCTCCTCCTCCAGGAGCCGCTCCTCTCGGCCGTCAACAGCTTGTTCCTCCTGAGGGAGCCGACAGACGGTCGGTCTCTGAGGAGGCAGCGCAGAGCTCGCAGCACGCTGGCCTTCGTCTCCAGACCGCTGGAACACAGAGAGGACAACGAGTCAGAGCTGAAACTAAAGCATTACGGTCTGAGTCTTCATTATAGTTGCCCATCGATGGGTAACTATAGAGCGTGTTTTTTTTGTTTGTCCGTTAACAGTCCAGAGCTTCACAGGAGAGGAGTTTGAACCTAAAACTTCACATATGACCTCAGTATGGTCCTTTCTCAGAGTGATTAGATTTTGGGGTCAATACATGCATTGGTGACTGCTACAGAGGTCAAAGGTCGCATTTACCAAAACAGCTCTGTCTGTCTGGAAATGCACAAAAAAACATACGTTTAGTAAACTAACTTAGGAAGATGTCTGAGGCCTATAAACTGATGATGTAACATATGACCTTGAGACAAAGGTCAAGGTCTCACTGAAGGTCTTAAATCACCACAAATTTTCAATCCATTACAACTTGGAAAAGGTGTAACACAAACACGTAGTTTGTTATTACAATCAGAGGAACCCATATCGGAGATGTGACATTTGACCTTGGACGACAGGTCAAGGTCAAACTCAAGGTCATAAATCTTGCTTAGCCGTAGTTACACCAAAACCCTTCCCCTCCATGTAAAATATCTGTGCTGCATGACAGACGAAGCTCTTGTCACATTATGGATCATTTTAAGGCAAAATCAAGACAAGTTCATCCTGAAGTAGACGCTCAGTAAAACACAGGATCAGGTAAACATGCAGACACTGGGCAGCCACGTCCCTCTACTGAGGCCTTTCTAGTTTAAGTTGTGGTTAAAACACTGCAGAACTTTCTTCTTTGGTTCGTACCTGCTGCAGAGCTGGAACACCGTCTCCGGTCGTCCCTCCACCTCTGACTTGCTGTGGACCAGCTCCCACACACAGGGATCCTCTGAGCCTGCAAACACAGAACCGTCAGCTCAGACCGTCAGAGCGCCTCCTGCTGGAGCTCTGCTGCACCAACACTCACCAGAAACACACCTGGACCAGCAACATCCTCACTACAGCTACAGAAACAAACCTTCTTATGATCACTGACCTGTGATGTTGGCCGGTCTGACTTGAACCGCTGAAACTGGGATTAACCAGCGGAACCTGAAGGGGTCCAGATCAGCTGAGCGGGAAGGTGTCTGTCGGACAGAAAACACACTGAGTCAGATCTAAACACAGACACGCTGTAGAGGTGAAGCTGTTCTGTTCAGATGTTCAGAAAAGCTCTGCTGGTGGTTTGTCAAGTTTTAACCACAGAACTATTATGTAATGTTAATTCAATGTTTTTGTTCTGTTGTTTAAACGTAGACAACAACACTCGTGTGGGTTGTTTAGAGGTTGAAAATCTGTGTAAGCTTGAAAGAAAAGAAAAATACAGCGGTGGCTTGAAAGGACAGAAATCGATCTAAAAACTGATGCATGATCTGGAAACTGATCAGAAGCAGCATGAAAATGTCATGAAGCCCATTTCTGCTAAATACAGATAACAATAAAGAATTTAAAAAAGCATGTAAAGTCCGAAACCTTTTATCTAAAAAAAATATGTCTTAATGCCTAATATTTTCAAATGGTAAATGGTCTGCACTTATATAGAGCTTTTCCACCGTAGCGGCACTCAAAGCGCTTTACAATGTGTTTCTCATTCACCCATTCACACACATTCATACACTAATGGTGACAGAGCTGCCATGCAAGGTGTCTGCCTGCTATTATAGCATTTCTGACTATATATTATATTTTTAACTCATTGATTCAAACATAAGTCAACGTGATGTCATGTCTTATATTATTTACTGATCTACTGTTTAAACTTTGACTCATATTTTTTTTTAAGTATGTGTCTTTATTTTTTACTTTTTAACAAAACATGTAGACTATAGCTCATATTTTTGCGTCAGAAAATTTTAGTTATTTTTAGAAATTCAACTTTAATTTCTTATTTTTGACTTCTCATCTTAAATTTTTGGACTCACCATGAATATCATTTTTAATCAGGATTTTTTTCATTTTTTTCTTACATTGGCCCAAATGGGCTTCCATATAATTGTGATCCGTAGTTAAATTCTAAAACAAGCAACCCAACAGAATGTCCATGCAGACTAGACTAGACTGTGTTTCAGGTTAAGCCACGACAGGATCAGGTGTCGAACTGGACTCACCATCCTCTTCTTCAGTTTGCTGTTCTCACGATAAACCAGGATGACGGCCCGTTTGAACACTGTGGACACAACGGCTGCTGAGTTACTTCAACACAACCTCAAATCAATTTGAAAATGATTTTTCTTCAAACACGCCGTAAAGCAAACACAGCGTGGACCCACCAAACAGCGTGAGCTCCGGCTCTTTCCTCAGTCGACCCAAACAGGGCAGAGGGTTCAACCAGACCACTGACGAATGGACCAGAAACTCTCCCATCGAGATCTCGGTCACCTGAGGGAGGAAGAATAAAACCCTTCAGTCGACTCTCCACAGCGGACGGTTCAGTGTGATGACTCAGCGTATTTGTGTTCAGACCTGTTTGTCAGCTCCACTCTGGTCCGCAGCCAGCTGGTCGAACACGCAGCCGTAGTCCTCGTAGATCTTCTGCATCTCGTTGATGTGACTCGCCACCTTCTCCATCGCTCGCAGCGCCTCTGAGTGGACACCAGAGGAAGCGCAGGTGGTGAAAAATGTGTTTGTACACAAAACAGAGTGCCTCTGTGGCCTCTGCAGGCTGCTGAATTCATTACAGCAACTGTAAACCTGTCAGGTGTGTGTGCGTGTGTGTGTGTGTGTGTGTGTTAAACTTGTTGATGTGTGTGTTACCTGTCAGGTGTGTGTGTTCAGGACTCTCGGGGTCGGTCAGGGACACCAGCTCCCGGAGCAGCAGTGGATACTTGAGGACCCTCTGAACAGGTTTGATCAGGTACGACTCCAGAGAAGACGAGTGCTGATTGGTGGGATTCCTCGCCTCCAGGAACTGCTTGAAGGCTCCGTCTGTTTTGGCTGAATCAGAGACGACGGTTAAAGGATTTTTTTTCCCCTTCACAGATTCTGCCAAATATTCTGATTTGTTACATTTCAATAATATTAAATGAATTTCAGGTTGTTTTGTTTACAGTCTAAATTTGTAAAACGCGTTTAAATAAATGTTTTGCTCTTCGGTCCTCACCTCTCTCCAGAACCTTCTGGACTTTGATGTGATTGGCACAGAAGCCGCTGTAGAGTTTGAAGTGGTCGGCGTAGTAAAGGAAAGATCCGCCCAAAGAGAAGAGCAGTTTCTGAACGCAAAAAAACAGAGACAATGTGTGAAACAGTTCTCTACACAATACTTGTACAACATTAAAACAACACACGAACATGTACTGCAAATGCACAGTGAAAATAAGAAAATAAAGGAAATTACAACAATTAACATAAATATAAAAGAAGAAATAATTCAAATAATAATAAAAGGCAAAATTTATGTAAAATAGTAAATCAAAAAAAAAAAGAATCCTTTTGGTAAAGCAGCTTACAATTTCAACAACAGCCAAAATATTAAAACATTTAAAAGAAGGAAGGACATACAAAAAAAAACTGCTAAAAAACAAGTACAAATAATAAACAAAATACTAAAATAAATCGGAAAAACAGAAAAACTAAATTAAGTAGGCAATAAGACAGGAAAAAGTACATACATTCAAACAAAATGAAATAAAAATAACAAATAAATAAATGAAAAAGTAGTTAAATCAGAAAAATAAAACAGGAAAAAAAAGGAAATGATAATACAAAAAAAAAGGTAAAAAACAAATCTGAAAGAAAGAGGCGTATTAGACCAACTGATGATCAATAAAACGTGTGAGCCAGCAGACGGATCTTTACCTTGAACTGTTCGAGTGTTTCCAGGCTGCTGAAGTTCGGACAGGCAGCGATTCTTTCCTCCAACGTCTGGAGAAAAACCCTCTGAAAGTCCAGCATCTCTGGCAGGCTGCCGAACAACGCCTCCATCTGAGGGAGAGACGCTGCGGTTAAACAAACCAACACGACCTGAAGTCTACACAAAGTTTCACCTCCTTTTCTTTTTCCTTTTGTACCTCGTCTTTACTGAGGAACGTCTCCTTCTGCAGCGGCGTCAGATAGATGTTGAACAGACACACCAGATCCTGAAAGACACAAGAAGAACATTCATGAACACATTAAACAGCAACATGACAACAGGAACATAAGACAGAACTTTACTCACTCCAGTGCTCTGTATGGAACAACAAGCACATGTTAGACATGAAGAGAAACTGAACTGCAGCTGCAACAAATTACTGACACACAAAAACAATAAAAGGAAAATAAAAAATCTAAAATAAAATGTTTGTACCTGTTTCTACAGATTTATATTTTTATATTTTATTCTTTTTTTTAAACTGTCAGACTAAACTCAATTTCAATGAATTAAGTATTTGAATTATATATGATTAATGTCATTAATGTTGTGTTTTCAGCATCAAGTTTGAAGTTATAAACAAACTCATTAAAACACACTAAAGAGCTGTAATAGCACAATATATTGATATAATATTTCTTTCATTTCCTTTTACTTCTAATTTTAAACGCTCATATTTATTTAAGACATTTTAAATGATTTAAATCTGACCTAGAAATGATTTATTTGTGGAAAATCACAACGGACTGTGTCGAAGCATAATGAATGTTATTTATCATTAGTCAGTTAGATTTTTATTTTACATCTTATATTTGAGAAATTCAAACTAGCACATGTTTTAAATTTTTCTTTATAAAAGACTTGAATGCTCATTAAAACAGTTGCTGCTGATTAACTGTAACAGTGGTGTTAGCGGTAGCAGCAGTGTTAGCGGTAGCAGCAGTGTTAGCAGTAGCAGCAGTGTTAGCGGTATCACTGCTACAGAAGAGTTACTGCAGTGTTCTGACCTTGACGTAGGACTTCTCGGTGTCGACCAGCTCCTGGATGACTTTACGCAGACGCTGACACACACTCAGGTGGGCGGGGCTCGCCGGCTGCAGGCCGACCTCTCTGCTGTATGGGTTTTTGGGGACGTCAGCGTCCGCCGCTCGGCTTTCTGGGAAGGTTTGGTACAGCGAGTAGACCTGGTCCATGTTCTGAGGAGGAAAACACGGAGGAACTGAGGCTCAGACGACTGATTTACTTTGACTGTTCAGAACAAAACCAAAAGGTCAAAGGTCACAGAGTGTGACGTGAACGTGAAGCAGAGGGATGTGTGGAGACAATAAAAGTTTTTCAAAAGAACAAATTCACAAGAATTTAACGCCAATGATAGCGTACCACTGTGTTAGGATAGGCTAGCAGGCTAACATGCTGCTGCTAGCTTATTAGCATGCTAATTTTGGCATTAGGTTCAAAGCTAAAGGTCAGGACAGTCTGAAAACCACATACACACTTAAACATGTTTCTGTTTCAACAGTCGAGCCAGACGTAAGCGTGACAAGTCAACATTAAATTAATTTGGGTCAAATGATTTCAAACGAGTGCCTGAATTCTGAGACGTCACATCTGTTCTGTATCAATTCATGAGTTTCAGCAGTTTTGACCATGAAAACAGCCAATTATGCTAAATTCCACATTAACTCAGTTTTAACTTGATATCAACACAAGCGTTTCTGCAGTTTTACTCTCTGCTGGTAGAAACCGAGGACAGCCAGCTGCCAGCTTGTCTCCTGCTGTGTCATCGGCAGTAACACCACACAGAACCTTTGGTCTAGTGACTCTACAAACACTGTGAACGCACAAGTAGGAAGATAAATCTTCTACTTTGATCATGAATCAGTAGAATAAGAACCATCTGAGCTCCAGGCCGCAGTCAGGAGTTCAATGTTTCTTCTGGACATCTGGGAGGTGAAAGTTGGCTGCTGAGTGAGAGATCAGAGAGAAACATGACCTGCTGACACCTGGAGCTACAACACACGCTACAACTCTCCATGGCTGACGGATTTAAACACTGAACTGGTCTGAGAGCAGCTTCACTGCAGCTTCCACCCTGAAGGACGAGGAGGTGTTAAAAAACCCGCCGCCTCATTCATCATCATAATCTGTGCTGCCAGCCTCTAATAAACTGCCGACAGCCTGATAAATTCAGAGCTGGGCTCTGTTCGGCCTGCAGACGCAGAGCTTTTAATAACAGGCGACACCTTAACTTCCAGGACGGCTGAGATCCTCAAGATCTGATTCTGATTCACTGAACCTCCTGAAACTCTGCATTCCCCCTCAGACCAGACACACGTGGGAAATTAACTTGGAAATAGAGTTTCTAATTCTGGGCAGCACAGAGCAAAGGAACGGGTCCTCACAGAGGGAACTGTTCAAAAAGGAGAAGAACCAGGAGCACATATGAGCATTTTAGAGGCTGCAGGGACATACGTGATGGAAGAAACCTGGACACTGTTTACAGCACACAGGAAGATCTGATCAAAACCAGCGTACTAACATGCAGGTAGACACACCCATAAAGGGTTAAAGCAGAGATCACATCTGGTACAACAAACAGCGGATGCAACTAAGTTTTGATAAATCGATTAGTGATTTGGTCGATAAAACATCTGACAAACATCTTGTTTTGTCGAACCAACTGTTCAAAATATCCAATTCATTATCATGTGAAATCAAATTATTCCATTTAAGCAGCAGGAACCAGCAAATTAAAGAATGATTTATTGATTATCAGACTGGTGATCTTTCCTTGATCTACAGCATTTAGATGGAAGGAGAATTACATAACTAAATGTGTTTAGTCATGTGCATTAAAGGAAATTCAAGAAAGTTAGATAACTTATTTTTACATGAATAAATTCATGTTTTCCCTCGTTTAAGATAAACAGTTGAGAACCCAATGCACTCATCTATTAGACTGTTTCACTGTTTCTGGTCGTGATCTACCTCAGTGGTATCTTCAGTCCACTGTGACTGTCCATAGTCCGGCTTTAAACATCTGTTTGTTGCTTATAAAAAGCTACAGACTGAAATCTGAGCCCATTTACGAGTTCTAACATCAGATTAAGTCATTTTTCCCCCACTGGCTGGTTTTTCTGCTGGGAATGATCAGATTTCACTGGTTACCGTGACATTCTGTCCACCAGTAGGGGACTTCTCACTGTTGTGATCTTATGCTCATCCATCTGTTCTCTGCTGCTCATCCGGACTTGTGTCGGTATAGCAGCATGTTAGTCCAGATGTCCCCCAGTTTTCCAGCTCCACCTGCAGCATCCTCAGGTGTTCCCACACCACATGGGGTGTGTAATCTCTTCAGCGTGTTCTGGGTCGACCTCGGGATCTTACACCTGCTGAACATGCTGAGAAAACCTCCGAAGGAAGGCGTCCAGGAGGATCCTAATTAGACGCCTGAGTGACCTGAACTAGCTCCTTCTGACATGATGGCGTGGGAGGCGCAGTATGACATTAAATAAAAACTATTATTTAGCTCAACTACTTGCTGCAGCTCTACAACAGACCACCAGACAAACAGTAACAACATCTAGCAGCCCTCTGTTTACCAGCAGGACGAGGCTGTCGGCGGGCCGGTGGTAGCCCAGGCAGCAGGCGGCCTCGTCCAGCAGCCCCGCCAGCCGCTCCATCAGCCCGGGAAACACCTCCCCTCCCTCTTCCTCATCCTCTTCCTCCAGTGTCTCCCAGTCCTCCTCCGGCGGCAGCACCCAGCACAGAGCTCCCATGGCGAAGGAGCGGGACGACGTAAATGTCTGGTTGGGGGTCAGGGGTCGCCTTCGGGAGTCGTTAGTGCCGCCACCAGACGAGGAGGTGGAGGAGGTCACGAACAACATCTACAAGTTCTCTGTGTTTGTACCAGTAGACGCCATTAATCCCACTGCTCTGACTTTACAAACACTCCACACACTCCTGACGGCGTAAGCCCAGATTATCAGGCTGACCGCGGGTCATGTGACAGACAGAGAGTTGGAGGTTTAGGAGGGACAAGAGGATTGTGGGAAAGGATTTCTGCAGGTAAGTTTGAGGAGGTTTAGTGAAGGACAGACAGTAACAGGTTCCTCCTACGGGACCTGCTGAAATTAGACTTCTAGGTTTCTCATATCCTGATGATAACAAGCTGCTAATAGCCGATGCACTTTTCTGATCCACCTCAATGATGCACGAGGCGACTGGTAGAAGGGTCTAAATGACAAAATACCATGGACTGTATATGACGAGTTCATTTGCAAAAACAGATAACTCCATTTTTGTAGATTTTCAGAAAACTTATTTTTTTGTTGTTTGCTTGAGATAATATCAATCAAACTGCAGTTGAGTGGATTTGACACGACAAAAATAGAGATAATTTAAGTTTGATTGATATTGTTTCAGGTAGACGATGGAAAAGTGGTTTTTCTGAAGGTTTGTGAGGATGGAGTTATCTGACAATGAGCAAAGAGGTGTACTGTGAGTGGAGCAGAGTCTCTGGGCCATGAACTATCCACCCACCTTTCACTCAAAGCACCACCCCCATAACTATGCATAACTTTAAGTCTCAAAAAATATTAATGTCCAACTTATATAAAAAATCCGACCCCCTGTTTGTCACAAACGGAGACATTAGCGATAGAGACCAAAACTGTTTTTGCACCAGGCTGTAAACATGGTTCTTTCTGCTGTAAAGTTGTACAGTCTAACATGAGGGTCGATGGGGACTGACTCACTTTTGGAATCGGCCTCTAGTGGCCTGTCAAGGAACTACGGCTTTTGGCACGTGAACGTTGGCTCAAATGTTCAGACCCAGAGGCTTCTGCTTTGCAAAATGCTTGGTTTCGCATCGTGTTTAAAGCGGACCTTTTGCTGGACAGAGGATACTGTGGCCACGAGGAGGAATTACAGGATCAAGGTAGCTGTCAAAACACAGGATATCTCTGTCTGACAAGAGACTTAAATTGTTGCTGCGTCACATGACTGACGACACATCAGTTCTCGACCAGTCAGAGAGCGCTGACCCAGGGGCTGACCTTGTACAACTAGAGTGTCTACACAGTGTCTGATACTACAGCGTCATGTGCTCCCTCACAATATACACAGTGACCGTCCTATTACCACCACCAGTCTCTTTACTCATACTGGTCAGTGTCGTGAAGTTGTCGTACATTACAGAGAAAGTGAACAACTCAAAAGACGCAGCATTAGTTGTTATCCACTACAGTTGACCCACAATACTGCAATGATATCACATGAAAAAACAAAACTTAACAGATTAATCCCAACTCTGCAAACTTCCCCTCTTCCACACAGTCGACCAATCGCAGTCAGACACAACTCGAACTAAACGCAGCGTCAGAAAGCTGTGGAGGACCTGATGAGGGGTTCTGAGGTAGCTCTTGTACAGAAGAGTCTGAAAGTCACGGTGAGATGAAAGTCAGAGCATCTTCAGCGTCAGTAATGAGAGGCAGCGCCAAGTGACAAAGAAAATGTGAGCAATGAGAGAAATTTAAATCAGATCCTTCAGAGTTACATCGTGTGGCAGAGTAGAGCCACATGGAGCCGCAACATGTCAGTCTGTGAATAAATTAAAAGCTTTCTGTGATGGGGTTGGCTGATTAGCCCAGATTACCATTTTATTGTATAAATAATCAGGAAAAGAAAAGAGAAGGGATACAAAAGATGGAAATTTAAAAACAGATGCGATTTTCGTTCACTTGTCGTTGAGTGTAAACCTGATGAGACCTCACCTGTCCCGGAGCCTCAGCGTCCTCAGACGGCGTCGTCGTCAAAGTGTCGTCAAAAACGGGAGTGAGGTTTCCATCTGGATCACTGATGAATGATGGATCTATGTAAGAAACAAAACAAAGGTCTCACTGGAGTTCTTTTTCTGTTCAATTTAGGGATTTTTATGCCCACTATTGGCATAAAAATGTAATATATGTCAATATTGTTAGCGTTTTATTTTTCGTCCTGTAATGAAAACTGATAAAATAATGCCTTGATTTCGCTGCCATTTACCGGTGCACAAGTAATGACGACATCAAAGTGCATCATGAAGCCTGTAAACAAGTGTGGCTGCAGTAACAAACATATATCGTAACGGAAATTGAGAGTTGGACAATATTGGATATTGGCAAAAAAGCCAATATCAGACATCCCTAGTTCAATTCTTAGAGTTGTTTTCATTGTGTATTTCAGGACCTGTGACTTTACTCTGGTCCCATTTCAGCCGTTACAAGTAACAAATTCACCTCTAAATAAACACAGACAGCTGCATTAACCTCACAGTGAAGAAGTCCTAAACAAAAACATAGCCTGAACCTTCTGTGGGCAGTTTTCCCAGAATTCCTCTGGGGCCTCTGTGCTGCTGATTAAAGTGTATCTGACTGAGCATCGATCTGCCTTCAGAATGAAAACATTTTAGTTAAAAGCTTCAGATTTCCTCGACTGGTAGATTCAGTTAGTGTGAAGGTGTAGTCTAACATACATGTATGAGATTTTTTTTAAATTGTGGCTCTCTTTGGTGTATTTATGTCTGCAGTCTGTAGTTCAAAACCCATTTTTAATGTCCTACGCTGGCCAGAAAATGAATGTCATGATTATCACGAGTTTTAAAGCAGACAGAAAACATGTCTCAGGTTGATTTAATGAGAGAAATCTGTCAAACACAGCATGAAGTGACTGGAAAACAGATTTTGCCTGTCGTACCTGCGGTCCAGGTCTGGAGGTTGGCAGAGGTCGGCGGTGGGAAGCAGGGGTCGGTGGGGTCGGGCCAGACGCCGGCGGGCTCCTCGGTGTCGGGCGACTCGTCTCTCCTGAGCAGCAGCTGGAGCTTCTGGTGGGTGAAGAGACTCTGCATGAGGTCCAGGTCCAGTCCTGAGACAGCGGCTCCGTTCACAGCCAGGACCTCGTCTCCGGCCCTGAGGCCTGATGGGAAACAGACAAATCATCGTCATAGGTAAGAAATGTGCTTGAAGAATTCATCTGTCACACACTCCATCACTTTCAATAAGTATTACGTTTTATTCTGTGATGAAGCCACAACAGAAGCAGTTTGTTCTTTCTTTGTCTGCAGGTTAACTCTTTATGGGCCAAGTGACCATATTTGGTCACTTCCTTGGACGTTCAATATGTCCGCCCTGTGCCTCTCCTTGAGGATGAAGAACCATGTGCACCTTGATTTAGTTTTTATATTCGTACCAATATCACTAGCTTACAAAAAATGTCATTAAACAAATGTTCCAGGAACTTTATAAACGCTTTGTTAGTGGTTTGCATTGAACTCCACTTTATTAATCTTGATATGCAACATTTTATTTTATTTTTTTAAGTCACAAAAGTAAAACTATCTTCAATTATCCTTCAATAACACCGTAAGGTTGACATTTTCATTTTCCAGGTATTTCAAGGAGTGTCCTATAAAGGGTTAAGCCGTCAATGCCCTCTGCTGGAATAGAAGATGAATTACAAACTCATCCATCCCCCTGAAACATTGCTGTGGTCTCTCTGAAGGACTTAGATGTTTTACCGTGTCTGGCCGACAGTCCCAGCGGGTCGACTTCGCTGACGTAGACGTGACTTTTTCCTGCTCCGTCCACGTGACCCGTCACTGCAAAGCCTACACATGCGTTGGTAAAAATATGTGTTATTGCTTTTCAGACACAAAGCATTCTTTTTTTTAACAGCGGTGCTCAATAACAGAGCTAAATGTTATTGAAAAATATGTTCTGAATTATTGTTTTTAAAATAATAAGCCATCTTTGAACGTTTTTAAAAACCCATCAAGGTTCCCGCTGCCCTGAAATGTTACAACCAGCAGTGATGGAAGCTTTTCTTAAATCAGAAGCTCAGTGTGTGATTCTTACACTCTTCAAGCTACTAGTTCCACTCCCAGATTAGTTCTACTGCTGCACAGTGAAGTGATGTGTAGAGTTGTTTTTTTTCTCACCAAAGTCCTTTTCCGTGTCGGGTCGACAGATGTGCAGAGTGAAAACACCGAGCGCCGAGAGCTGCTGCTGCTCGTCACACAGCTGAACACGGATCAGAACAGATCAGAGGGAGTCAGTTACTGATCAGAATCATGACAACAAACATCCAGTTATTTCAGTCTGCAGGATGACGGTTCAACTCCAGTTTGTCAAGGTTCAAGGTTAGGTTTCAGTGCAGGGAGAAGGTGGGAGTTTGACTTTATGGGAACGTAACACAGTAAGAACTAGAAAAAAGAGGGGAGGGTTTGAGAGAGGAGTGAAAGAAGCCATCTATGTCAAACTGGAAAGACCATCAACAGAGGTGGAGGTCTGAGGCATCACCTCTCACCTGTTTACAACTCAGTCCTAAGATCTCTCCCCAGGAAGATGAAACTGCATTCACACCTCGCCATAGAAACCCTAACGAACCCCTTTGTGGCAGGGGGAGCACTAACGACTCACATAACGAGAGGGAGGAGCAACAAACCCCCAATTAAAACCGAAACTCAGGTGTTAGTGGCTCCTTTAGGATATAAGTATCTGGAACTCCCAACTAGTCAGTCAGAGCTGATGAAGCCTCTTGGATGAGAGGTGAAACATCTTCAAGGAACTCAAGCAAGTCCAGTTGCTACGATTAATCTATGAAAACAACCATGAGCTGGATGACTGAGAACCTTCACAGACAACTAGAAAAAACCAACAGGACCAGACTGATTCGACAGCTGATGCACATATATCAGTGTTGATACGTAACAAAAACATGGTCGTAGATGCTAATAGGTTGTTATCATATTTTGATGTTGCTCCAGGCCTCACACATCCTCACTAAAACAGTTACATGTGGTTTTGTGCAGACAACAGACAACTAACAAACAAAATACAAAAATGCTCTAAAAAAAACACACAACTTCAGTAATCAAGGATCCAAACAGAGTTGTGGTTTTCAGTGAACATGCATCATGTGTAAACATCTTCTTTGCCACCGAGTTAAACTCCGTATATGAGCAGACTCACAGATGTACAGATGCAGCTAACAATGATTTGTAACACAAAAAAATATTTCATTTAATATGATATGATGTAAAAACAAGCAGCACAGCTTCATATGTCTAGTTGACTGATCATATGTGTTTAGTATTAATGGTTATAGTGACTGTGAAGAAAATGTCAGCGATATGACGAGAGGACAGAAACGATTACTATTGGTTTGGATGTTCTTAGCAATTATTGTCTAGTTGAGGCCTTGGAGATGATCATCTACTTTATAATGAGCCAATAATATGGATTCAAAATTCACTAGAACTAATATTGTTCATCTTTTGGAAGATGACTGTAGCGGTAGACATGTTAGTCATTCAACCCAAAGCCTGTTTCTCAAATCTTTTCTTCTGGTTTGTAACAACCTGTGTGTTTATTTAGTTTGACTGTAATCAATGACTTATTGTCATACAATATACGATGTGAGCTTTGATGACAAAAGAATATTTTAATTGTTCATTCTAATCAGGGGCTGCAGGGTGGATCGGTGATTAAGCGGTGTATAGATAATGGATGGAATTGTAATCAGGCTGGAAGTTTGCAGAAATAAATCAGTCCCAGTGAGTTTCAGCAGGTCGGGCAGTGAACACACCTGCAGAGCTGCAGCTCGGCCTGTGGAGGGCGCCGCCTCCCTCTGCTGGGACGCACAGTCCAGGGTCTGCAGGAGGAAACACAAATGAAGATATTTTTTCTTAGTTTTACAAATCTGACTGCAAGTCTGATTCAATAAGTCTAAAAAAACGTAGGAAGGCTCAAGCTGGTGTGAATTAAAAACTCAGCAGGCCTTTTTAGGGCACATTAAGGGCAATAATAATAATAATAATAATAATAATAATAATAATAATAATAAGAGTTCATGATGATCGAATCAAAGAGCTTTAAAATATATAAGACAGAGAAAGCAGCGAAGTTTAAGAAGTCAAACTTTCTAACAAGCGCTGAAACGCACCGACAAGGACGCAAAAATAAAGACGTCCTCTGAAGGAGAAGAAAGAAGGAGATGAGAGGAGGAAGGCTGAGAGGAAAAGCAGCAGCAGCAGGATGCAGAAGAGACTCAGGAGGAGGCGTCGTGTTGAGAGGAAGATGATGGAGGTTAAAAGAGGAGCAGAAGAAAAGAGGAGGAGGTCATGTGACAGCGGGAGGAGGTGGGGGGAGACATCTCCTGCCTCTGTGGAGAGATTAACACTCAAGGACAAAGGAATTCATGGAGAATGAAAGGCTCTCGAAGCTTTTAATCCTCAAACACCTCCCTCCTCCTCCTCCTCCTCCTCCTCCTCCGTGGGTCGACACACCAGCAGGCCGTCCTCAAACAGCTGTGCAGCTAAACAAACAGTCTGAATCTGCTGCTCCTCTTCCTTTCCTTCCTTTGTCCTCCTCTCCTTTCTCCTCCTCTTTAGGGGGTTCAGGGGTGACAGGTGGCAGCACACAAAGCTTCTCAGCGCTATATGAGACCAGTGGGGTGTGTGGACAGCGTGTCTCATCTTCCTCCAGCTGCGAATCCTGAAATTTCTCTTAAAACTTCTTGGTCGGTCAGTAGAAATTAACTCAAGAAGCTGAAATGTTGTCAGAAGAAAGTGTGAGACAAATTCTGTGACATCCTCCAAACATCATTAACTAAATTTTATGACTTTGTGTCAAGAATCTGTCCCTGTAGATGTTCACTTGGGTTGTATTCAGCTGTCTTTGGTCTTCTTTAGTCTTCAAGTCAACGTTCTGAGGTGTGTTTGGGCTCTTTATCCTGCTGCAGCATGAATCCTTCTCCACAAAGATGCAAACCAGTGGAAAACGGCACATCTCTGGAGGACAAAGTGCTGCTTCTACTTGGTCGTCCTCTGATGATTTGCTCACTTTTGGTCTGTCTGATGCTGCTTGGATACAACTGATCCAGTTTCCATGAAGTGTTTCAGAGCTCCTTACACTTAGAAACCTTCAGTCCAGAAATGATTTGATCCTGAGAAAGCTCCTCTTTCCCCAGAGGAGCAATTTAACTTCACTTATGCCATTTTTCACACCATCACAGTGCTACTTAGTAAACAACAATCCGCTGTGACTACAAATCCGGCTAAATGTCTTCTGAACGATGCTTCAATGGAAGAATACACTTCAAGTCAATCTGGTCATTTTAAATGTTTCTGACTATTTCCAGCTTATCCTGAAAATAGAGCAGATGTACTGACTTCTGGATCTCGATTCAGGTTTGGGCCACGAGGACAAAACTAAAGTTGTTTAAGAAAAATGTAAAGTGAAAAGCAAAAGTTTCATTACATTTTTATTTATTATTACTTTTGTCAGTTTCATCTTATTTCACTGACAGCTGTTTTTCCTTCTTCAATGGGAGGCTATGAATACACTTGAGGACGACTGTAAGTAATTCAATAGTTGATTAAGTAAAAATCTGCAGTCATCTTAGTTGTCCTCAGATTTAAGGATTTCGTTTTTTCCTTTTCTTTCTCTTATCTGAACGTGAACTCAGCATGTTTCAGATGTCGAGGCTCTGAGCTGCAGACAGCAGACGATGTGGCGGCAGGGCTCTCAGAAACCACACACACACACACACACACACACAC